TCGTGTGTGTTATTTACATGTAAGAACTATACGTATTGCACAAGCGAATATACACCGAACTATATTCCAATTTTTCACAAAAATTGAAGGACAGACTTGATATAATGTGTTTCCATTTTCTTCTTGATTAGTACCTTAGTCTCAGAAACAGGAATTTTTTTAGCTAAGTTAATCAGTAATAGTGTTCACAATTTGCTATCCATATGACCATTGTACTTTTAGTCTTAGAAATGGGAATTCAGCTAAATCAGTAATAGTGTTCACAGCTCACCGTCAAAATTTTAGCCTTGAAATTCATGTGTATCTAGAATTATCTACGTTTGAATGTTAAAATGACAACTCGTCTTTTCTTGAGACACTGTGATATATAGAAAAGACATCTATAGAAATAGTGAGTAAAATTCCTAGTTTGAGATATTTTTAAAGGAATTATGAGATTTTGGTACATTTCTAGTATTTCTGAAGACTATTTACATATATTCAAGACGTAAATCAACCAAGTCAAGGACCATGTATAGTGTATTGTTGTATTTTTAAAGAAATTGTGAGATTTTGGTACATTTCTAGTATTTCTGAAGACTATTTACAAATATTTAAGACTCAAATCAACCAAGTCAAGGACCATGTATAGTGTATTGTTGTATTTTTAAAGAAATTGTGAGATTTTGGTACATTTCTAGTATTTCTGAAGACTATTTACAAATATTTAAGACTCAAATCAACCAAGTCAAGGACCATGTATAGTGTATTGTTGTATTTTTAAAGGAATTATGAGATTTTCGTACATTTCTAGTATTTCTGAAGACTATTTACATATATTTAAGACTCAAATCAACCAAGCCAAGGACCATGTATAGTGTATTGTTGTATTTTTAAAGGAATTATGTGATTTTTGTACATTTCTAGTATTTCTGAAGACTATTTACATATATTCAAGACTCAAATCAACCAAGCCAAGGACCATGTATAGTGTATCGTTGTATTTTTGAAGGAATTATGAGATTTTGGTACATTTCTAGTATTTCTGAAGACTATTTACATATATTCAAGACTCAAATCAACCAAGCCAAGGACCATGTATAGTGTATCGTTGTATTTTTAAAGGAATTATGTGATTTTCGTACATTTCTAGTATTTCTGAAGACTATTTACATATATTCAAGACTCAAATCAACCAAGCCAAGGACCATGTATAGTGTATCGTTGTATTTTTAAAGGAATTATGTGATTTTCGTACATTTCTAGTATTTCTGAAGACTATTTACATATATTCAACACTCAAATCAACCAAGCCAAGGACCATGTATAGTGTATTGTTGTATTTTTAAAGGAATTATGTGATTTTGGTACATTTCTAGTATTTCTGAAGACTATTTACATATATTCAACACTCAAATCAACCAAGCCAAGGACCATGTATAGTGTATTGTTGTATTTTTAAAGGAATTATGTGATTTTTGTACATTTCTAG